TAATTACTTCTTCAATAGCCAATGCACTTTAGATGTTGATAGAATATTTTGCAAATTTCATTTTAAAATATAGTTTTTTCATATAATTTTGTAAAGTTAAAAATAAAATCTGAAGAATAAAAGATTCAAATATTTATAGATTATCTAATATATTTCTTATATTTCTGTTTAAAATTGTTTTTATATCAATATTATAAATACGGCTATTTTATATTTTACAGATCTTTCCGGTGCTGGCGACACTCCTATCTCTCGACGGAAGTCTTTCAAAAAGTCTCTTAGGGAATCCTTTAGAAGATTGAGAAAGGGACGTTCGCAACGTCGAGCGAATGCCAATAGTCCTACGAGAAATACTGCATCGGAGAAAAAAAAGGATAGGTGAGTCCGTTAAATCAAAGTAGGAAAATGATCTTAATTGTTAAACTTTAATTTCAGCGTTGCTTCTTCACCGAGCGGCGATCTGTCACCGACAGAATTAAAGCCGGTAGAGAGACAAGTGGAAGCGAGACCCGTTGACGACGCTTTAGGCTCTATGGTTCGGTGCTTGTATTTTGCCAGAAGTTACATTATTAGCTGTTAGTATCTTTCTGTAGATATAAAGTCAACGACAGATCAACGAAAGTGACCTAAAATATTTGTTTGTAGTACAAAATACAACACCTACACTTTGGGCGGGCACCAACAACGGCACGGTTTACGTTTTTACATTGGCCATACCGGCCGGCGTGAGAAGAACAGAAGAAGACGTCAACTGTACCTTGGGCAAAGAGATACAATTGAAACATCGAGCGCCTGTAATCGCCATCACGATCCTCGATGGATCTAGCGTGCCGTTACCGGAACCCTACGAGGCCGAGAAAGGCGTGACACCCGGGCCCGACATGACTTCTACGCATAGAGTTGTAATCGCCAGCGAGGAGCAATTCAAGATTTTCAATCTTCCGTCCCTGAAGCCGTATTGCAAGTACAAGCTGACCGCCCACGAAGGATCCAGAGTACGAAAAACAGGTTTCGCTAAGTTCTCATGTCTTGTTGAGCCATCGGGAACTCACGAGGAAACTTGTTTGCTTTGCCTGACGAATCTTGGCGATTGTCTGATATTGAGTATACCGGAATTGAGAAGGCAATTGAACGCGGCTGCGATCAAGAGAGAGGATATTAAGTCAGTATTATATCTTTATATCACGTATGTAAGTGTTAACGAATCTTAAATGTTTACAAACTGATATGTATCTTTCGCTTTCTAGTGGCATTTCTTCCTTAATATTTACGAAAGCCGGAGAAGCATTGTATCTTCACTCGAGTTCGGAACTCCAACGAATTTCCTTGTCAGCTGCAAAAATGACAAAGGCGCATTGCGCGCTTAATTTACCACCACACGCTAGAACATATGTGGAAAATACTACTAACGAAGTCGCGCAGGAACAAGGCGTCGTTGAAGGTGCACCCGAGACCGAAGGGGAGACACAGGGAAGTCAACCACCGACGGCAATGCCCAGAGTGATCACGGAAAATGGCGTAGTGGATACCAGTGAGTATCACGGGCTTCTACATTTCATGGCGCGAATAATTTAAAACAGTAGGTGGATTTAGTTGCAACTTTCAGCCTGATTTTCTGACGCTTGACGAAATGGAGCGTCATTAAGATGCGAGTAAGAACAGTAAAAATCAGAAAAATCGAGAGATACAACTAAATCCGAGCACTGATCTAAAGCAATAGATACATTTTTTATATACATCGCAATAGAATATACCTCCGGCTTTTGTGTAAGCGCGATTGCGTATATGTGTAACCAACTGCTTGACGTACTTTGTATAATCCGCATATACATGTGTGCTTACCCACGTGCTCTGATCCTAATCACATCTGAATCATTATTATCATTTTGTGTCTATTAACGAGATAGTAGGGAATGTTCTTATACGTAATAGTGCCGTTTAGTGTCGATGTGAACGCATGTCTTTTAGCTGGAGAGGAAGAATCTCCGAAGGAACCATCACTGCGACCGGCTACGAGTAGTATAGATGTAAACGGGGAAGATGACCGTCAGGATTTAAGTTCTATCGGAGATATTACGATCGACAGTGTTAAAGATCATTTGCTGTAAGTTTAGTTGAAACATTTTATTAAAGAATTTTATCTAATTTATTATCCGCTTATGTACGAGAAATTTGCTTTCGATTCAATTGTACTTTTCAGTTAACATCACTTCGTATACATATATATTTAATTTCTATAGAAACATATTAAACGTCTTATGTGGCTTAATAATTTATTTCGCCGCTATGTTAATTAACGCTAGTATCCCATGTACTTGCCATTTTTTGGCAGTAACAGTCCACTTTTCAGAAACGCGACGTCTTCCGAAGAGCTCCACAATCGTTTGGCAGGACTTAAGATGGAAGTGACCTCACGAACTTCCGAGATATCCACGCAGAATCAGTCGCTAGTAGTGAAAACAACCACTGTGGTTACGCAAACTACGAACAGCACAACCGCTAATGGCGAAGTCGAGACAAATCAGGCAAACGAAACGCAACATGTAAACAGTGAGTGAAATCACAATCGATCTAGACCTGCGAAGCGACTATTACGCAATTTAGATCTACCGTCTGATCATTGGACTGTCAGATTCGTAAAAAGATTGAGCCTAGATTGGATTCTTTTTCTCGTGAATCGATTTAATGCGGGAATGAATAAAATTTTCTAGACCGTCATGTCTTACAAATTGATCTTTCAAGATCACTAATCGACAGACTTGACGGATTATGTGATTTATCTTATCATGATGTTACAATCGATCAACATTTCATCCTTGTCTTCCGAATGCTTTGATCATTTTTATTTCTTGTTTTTGTTTTTCTTTTTTTTTTCTTTTTTTTTTTCTATCCCTACGTTATTTGCCTGTATTATATTTTTCTTTTATCATCATTTTGTTTGTGGCATTTGTTTTATTGCGCAGGCACTACAGTAGAGCGAGAGATACGCAGCGGTATCGAGACAACAACGACACATGCTACCATCACTCTGCCCCCGAACGTCGAGGTCAGCAAACGGCACTGAATATGATAATTAATTAGTGTCGGCCGTTACCTCGATATTAATTCCATGTTGATGCTTTAATATCTTCTCGTGCGCTACATTAGCGATTGGTTTCCCGCTGCACCAGCTTTCCATTCGTTTAGTTTTGTTCATTAATCCCTCGCTCTTTCCTTTCTTCCGTGCGATATTCATTAACAAACTGATTAACAGAATTAAAGTACATATAAAGCTTTTAATTACTAATCAGATAGATATTTCGCTATTTTCAAGAGACGTCTGTCGAGAGACGTTGATCGACAAATAAATATTTAAATATTACAGATTAGTGCCGCGGATTTGGCCAACTTGGAGGTCACTACGACCACAGTGACCACTACTACAGAAAGGTCCAAGGCGCCATTGGCTAGGCCAGAAGAGGTCGGTTCGTAAACCAGTTCCATATCGTTTCTCCATGCTGAACGTGCATCGATTTCGCGCTCCATTTACAGAGCCATCAATAATTAGTTATTCTTACTGATTAAACGTGTACACAGCGGCGATATAGATAGCATTTATATAACGTAGATTTTTGTAAGAAATTTAGATTTTTATGCAAACATTCAGCAATGATCACGCGTAAACGACGAGTGATCAATTTTTAATATAAACTTTATGCATTTCATTGACATCTATATCATTGTATTCTATATGAAAGTGTTCCAAACGAATTTGGAATTGACACAGGGAATCAATGATTTTTAACGAAATAGGCCTAGAGAAATATTTTATTTATCATATCGAAATAAGAGAGAGAGAGAGAGAGTATAAGATAAATCCTCATTGTGCTTTTCTTTATAGAGAAAATTTTAAAAATTTGATTATTGATAGAGATCAAGATAAGAAAATTTTATAAAAGAATATCGTATAAAAAAAAAATTCAATTTTAAAATAAATTTAGATTTTTATCACGAGGATTGATATATTATTTTGCACGGTCCGTTTTTAATTCGTTCATTAATCTTAATGATGAGTCTGGTGCATGTAATCAGTATAATCATAGGCTTTTAAGGAGGATTATAGTTTACTGAGAGATAGAGAATGACGAGAAACATCACAAACCGTGAATTATGGCAGCCTTAAATCTACTATTACCTTATGTATTTTTAATTATCGAAAAGACGCCCGCAGTATTCGCAATATTTGATATGTTTTTGAGCGTTTCTTGTTACGATTTTTTATTTTTTATGAGCGGAAATGTGATGCGATATAGAGATGCTCCGAACAAAATAAAAAAACCATAGCTACTTAAGTAGAGTTATATATTGTGACGAACAAGCGAGATTAAGCGTGGCAAATTTGAGGAGGAACATCCGTCGACGTGATGTAGGGAGAACGCGTTGAAAAATATATTTTTTATCAATGTTGCTTAATCGTTAAGTTTCCTCTCTCTTCGCGTTATCTAAGAATGTGTATTGCCGAATTTTCGAGGGAATCCTCGAATACTCGGGAGCGCTTAACGTACACGATACCGACATAGTTATTTTATTGTTGCATTTATCCGCAGTCTCTTTTTTCCAGACAGAATTGTTGAGTAATCTTCAGCGACGGACGATTGTTGCAAAGTGCATTTCTTGATATTTCTACCAGATTTTAAAAGTATACTACATGCATACATATATCACAGCTTTTTTGCACAGCAAACTGATATATTTTGTAGCTTGTTGTTTTTTTTTTTTTTCGTTAGGAGTACAGAGTATATCGAATATCTTATGATTTTGATCTCAATAGAATTGTCACGGGAATGGTAGTTCATATTTAAAAACTGCTTTTTCTTTTGACCGTACACGTGCGTCAATAATCTTATAATATTGTACAAAAAAGAAATCTGAAAATGCAACAGACTGATGGAAATATGCCCTCCTTACGCATCTTTGCATTTAATTTGCTTTTCTTTACTGATCAAAATTTAAATTGATAAATATTTTACACATTCTAAACGATTATTCTATATCTTCTTAGTGCGATAGGTTTTAATCTTTACAGATAAGTTTTAATCTTCTCCTCTAAATTTGTTTCGCTATTTTATTAACGAATATATATCCAGTTTGTTTTTATACTTTGAAGCATAATGTCACGTCTCGCACGTATTTTATTCGTGCTTGAAAAAAAAAAGAAAATATGCATTTACATTTGAAGAGGATTTCAATCTTCATAACTGTAAAATGCGTGCTATTGAGATAGTTTTTTATTTTATTGAGTCGATGCCGAGCTTGCTGAGATACGCGCATTCGTAACATTGTAAATTGTTTTTTACTTTGATAAAGTAATGTATAGTGTACACAGAATGAAATTGATGAAACACTGCCCCCGAAACTTTTTCCTATCCGACACTGTTAAATATCGATTGTAACATGTCATATATTGAATGCCTATTACGATGAAATATATAAGTATAATTATTGATGTATTTTCTATTTCAAACAATGCGGCATTTTTTATTTTCCTAGATTGTCTGACTTTCCTTATATAATATAATTCTTTTTATATGCTTGAAAATTTATTTATGATAGAATACTGTTATAATTTAATGCAAATAAAACAAAATCCTATTTTATCCAAATGTCGTCTCGTCAACGATAAAAATATAACGGGTTTATTTTCGATATTATATGCTTAGTTAAGTAAAATTATGTTGTAAATTATCTTATTAATTATGAATCATATATGAGATGTTTTATATATAAATAATTTTAAATATAATCTTAAAATCTATAAATATTCTAAAAGATATTTTATATATACAATTTAAATACAAGATATTTTACAATTAAAATATATGGTTAAAATCTATAATATTTTAAGGAAAAGAATGCTCCAAACGATTATCAACTTACCATCATATTTTTTTTATGAGTCATGGATCTGAAATCCAAAAAGAATATGTCTTATATTAACTATACATGATCCAATTATTATTTTGATTAAGCAAATTAAGAAAGCAGAAAATAAAGCTCATAAAAAATTGCTTCGGTGATGCTGTCAAAAGTAGTTTTATTGACTGCGTTGAGGAAACAAAGCACATGATTACATTAGATGATTACATTTTGCAGGTATCAAGAAAATAAGCAAGCGATCATTATCAAAGCGAAAAGCAATAAGCAGGGCTAGATATAAGTCTACGCTGAAGCACGAAGCATTTGCAATATTCATTTAAATTTACCCAAATAATAGCTCTTCAAATATTGCTCCGCATGGAGTATTTCCTCGCATGGATGTTTACTGACTTCCTTGTATAATATATCGAGAATGACTTTCACCGCCTCGATATCGTACATATTTGCGAGTAATCTCTCCCTGAAAGGCCTCAATTTTTCCACTAGCTGTTTGTTCTTGGCGATGGACCCAATGTGATCCCGCAGAATCTCGTTGTACGTCGGCCAATCGTTCTCGCACGCCGGACAATCACAGTCGAGGAAGTAATCCTGCAGGATCTTCTGCTTCCTCTCAGGTCGCGACATGTGCGCATAAACGCCGCCGTAGCTGGTGAATATCTGTTCTCCGGGGTGTATAGGTGTCAAGGCACGCGTGATCATCGTCAGCCCCTCGAAATGCCGAAAGGTATTCGGCGCGCAGGAGTGATTGTACAGACTGTGAGCCACGTACAGGCCTGAGCCCGACACGATCCCTGGTTCCTGCTGTATCTACGAGATAAACGTAATGCGCAATTGAACATCTTAAAGAAGATCTCTTGGATTTTTGAAACGAGCCTGAGAAAGAGAGAGGGAAAGCGCGTGCTCACCGAGAAACAGTTAGAAGACATTATCACGCAGGCACGGAACATTATGCTGGCGCCAAATTTCAGCTCGGAAAACTCGCTGATGTCCCTCAGATCGTCAATCTCGTATTTTTTATGGAAAAATTTGGTTTGCGTGGCTAAAAGGATTACCGCGAGCGCTGAGATACAGGCGAACGCGCTGATTCCGATCAGTGGTCTCGTGGTCATGTTGGTCGCCAGGCTCAGTGCGGAACGGCCGCTAAAACTGTCTAATATTCCGGTGTCTGTAAATCCCGCCGTTCTATCGTCTACAACAGAAAGAATTAAAGGATCATCGCATGATCATAGCGTTTAATTAGTGTTTAAACGCTAAATGTATCGGTATACCTGGATTAGACTCTGCAATTTTCACATCTTGCTGCAGTTCCTCGATTCGAGTTCCATTCTCGGTCACTACGATCAGCAATCGAATGATCTTCGAGATCATTCTTATTTTATCCTTGTCGACATTGAGCAAGTTTGTTAACAGCTTTAGAATGGGACATTCCGTCTCGTGGCATGCTTCCCACGCCAGTTTTCTGCAATTCTCGGAGCAATATTGAGCCACCGGGCACTTTGGGCATGGTATTAGATTGTAACTTCTGGATAGGCAATAATGGCAATGCGTGTAATACCTGTAAAACGCGAAAGTACATTACATTACTTTAATCGAGAGAGTGTCTTTCTTATTACTGGCTCACATACATATCCCAAACTTTTTGCTTTTTTATTTTATATAATTGATTAAATTACATTTGGATGGAAACTTTTTTTCCTACTCTTTTTGAAATTTTTAATCACATTAATCATTAACTTACAATAATTTATCTTGTTTTTCCGCTTCAATTTCAACATATGACAAATCAAAGAAAAAGTAAAATTCAAAAGACGTCCGATCCGCTCTTAATTGCGAGACGATTATGTTCATTTTCATCTTTTACTTAGACATTTAAATATATCGAAAAATTTTATATCTTTAAATGTGCAGCAAATAATTTAGTTTTAAAGTAAAAACAAAAAAAAAAAGAAGGAAAATTTGATATCTCCATCATTTTCAAGCGCGCTCTTGTCGTTAATCTGCGGACAGATGACCCTAATAGAAAGTAGATGTGATAATTAGCGACTCACCGTTCTTCATAGATAACGTGTGCATAGGGATCTTCGATGCTAACTATATCGCCGGGTTTAAATTCCCGTGTTGCCATGTAGTGTCTACCGTATCTTTCGGAGAAGGATACCGTGACACCGTCACTGACGGCAGGAACTTCACGGCTTGGGCCGTACGTTAACTTGGAAAAATCCTCCTCTTGCAAATACCTCGGTTTCTGCGGTGGAATTTTCGTTGCGCAATGAAGATAACTTTCGCTGGTCATCGCGTCTCGCTTCTTCAGCGTCCCTTGACCATTGTTTTCCATTGTTGATGCATTTTCTATATACTCAGTGTTTTCTAGTTTTACTGTAGACTTTTCAATTCCATCGCATAAATTTGTACGATCGGTATCCTTCGAGTCTGTTTGCAGCAACTTCTTTATCTCCATTATCGCCTTGTCACCTCTGTCCTTTAGGTTTCTTTGCTTCTCTTTTGGATATCCATGAGACAAAGCCGCGTCAATGTCTATCAGGCATTCCTTGTACAATTGTTTCCTATATAAAGCGGCGGATCGATTCGCGTGTGCGTATGCCATGAGTTCGTCGCTGTCAGCGTATGCCAAACTCATGGTGTAACACTCGATAGCTTCC